GGAGCAGAGAGCCTCTCTGCTCCTATGATGCTGCTTGGCCTGCTGTGTTCATCCAGCCCTGCACCTTGTTGTCTCTAATGTTGACCATGTTGAGTGTTTTTAAAAACACTAAAAGGTAGACAAGTACAAAAACAGGAATAGTTCAGCAGGTCCTGGAGCATCTGTGTAGAAACATCAGAGTTAATGTTTCGTCAGAGAAAGGGTCACCGGACCTGAAACGTTAACTCTGATTTTTCCTTCACAGATGCTGCCAGACCTGCTGGGCTTTTCCAGCAACTTTTGTTTTTATTCCCGATTTAAGGCATCCGCAGTCCTTTCGGTTTTTATTAAAGGTAGACATGTCCCCGGGACCTGCTGGGATCTATCCCAGAATACCGAGGAAGGCACGGGAGCAAATGGGACCTTATATGAAATCTTTGTGTCCACTTTAGTCACAGGAAAGCTCCCAGAGGACTAGAGAAGAACCAATGTTGTTCCTTTGTTTAAGGACAACAGGAATAATCCAGGAAATTACAGACTAGCAAGCCTTACAACAGTGGTAGGGAAATTATTGCAGAAGATTCTTAGGGACAGGATTTACTCTCGTTTGGAAAAATATGGACTTTTTTTTAATTTGTTCATGGGATGTGGGTATCACTGGCTAGGCAGCATTTATTGTCCATCCCTAATTGCCCAGAAGGCAGTTAAGAGTCACCCACATTGCTGTGGGTCTAGAGTCACACATGGGCAGAATTTGTTTCGTAATGGTCATTAGTGAGCTAGATGGGCTTTTCCTGACAATCAGCAACGATTTCACGGTCATCATTAGACTCAATTCTAGATTATTATTGAATTCAAATTCCACCATCTGCCATGGCAGGTTTCGAACCCAGGTCCCCCAGAACGTTACCTGGGGATCTGGTTTAATAGTCAAGCGATAATACCACTAGGCCATCGCCAGCTTCTGGATTAGCAATAGGCAGCACGGTTTCATCACGTTGTGTCTGACAAATTTGATTTGAGTTTTTTAAGCAAGTGACAAAAATGATTCATGAGGGCAGAGCGGTGAATGTTGTCTACATGGACTTTAGCAAGGCTTTTGACAAGGTTCCTCATGGCAGGCTGATACACAAGGTGAAATTACATCTGAGGTGAGCTGGTAAGATGGATTCAGAACTGGCTTGGTCGTTGAAGACAGAGAAGTGGTGGAAGGGTGTTTCTCTGACTGGAAATCTGTAACCAGTGATGTTCCGCAAGGATCAGTGCTGAAACACTTGTTATTTGTAAGTGCTTTTACACAGACAGCAGAGAGTGCTTGGAATGCATTGCCAGCAGAGGTGGTAGAAGCAGATACAGCTTAAATAGCAATATTTAAGACACATCTTGACAGATACATGAATAGGCAGGAAATAGAGGGTTGTTGATTGAGTAAAGGTTTTCAGTTTCAAAAGGCATCATGTATTGGCACAGGCTTGATGGGACAAAGGGCCTGTTCCTGTACAGTATTGTTCTTTGTTCATTGTTGATTATCATTTAAAAAAAAGCATCTGGTTCACTTCCTTCTGCTGTCTTTAATTGGTCTGACCTCCCTGTGACTCCAGATCCATAGACGGATTCTATACCACCCTCTGAAATGCCCTAACGTGCCACTCAGTTCCAGGGTAATTAGGGATGGGCCACAAATGGTGGTCAGAAATAAAACTTTCTGCTGAAAATGATTTGCAGGCCGGATAAGATGAAGTCAGGTGAGTCCAGACAGTGCAGATTGGGGGCAGCTGCTACCGTTGACAAAGGGTCATGAAACAGAGGGAACTGAGTCAAGGTGACTGTCAAAGGTAACATGAGGATAAAGCTTTTTTAAAAGCATAGCAATTGTATAGAATATTGACTGCACTGCTCCAGTGTGTACGGTGGAGGCAGATTCAATTGTGACTTTTAAAATGACATCAGATAAATTACCTCAAGGGAAAAAATTTACAGGGCTACAGGGAGAGGGTGCAAAAATGGGACAAGTTGAGCTCCTATTAGCGAGCCAGCATGGATACAGCAGGTTGAATGGTCTCTTGCTGCACTGTGATCATTTTATGATTCTATGGGAGGAGACGGTTGTGGAGCGTAAATGATCTAGTAGACACTTTTCTTTATCCTTTCGAAGGGCGTGGATTCCTCTGGCTTTGCTATAACTGGTTGCCCATTCCCAATTTCTCTCGAGAAGGTGGTGTGAGCCACCATCTCGAACTGCTGCAGTCCATTCGCTGTAGGTAAATCCACAATACGGTCAGTGAGGGAGTTCCAGGTTTTAGACCTCAGCAAAGTGAAGGAAAGGTGATATCATTCCAAGTCCGGACGGTGTGGGGCTTGGAAAGGATCTTGCAAATCATGTTGTTCCTATGTATCTGCTGCCCTTGTCATTCTAGAGATCATGAGCTTGAGAAGGATCCTTGGTGAGTGGATGCAAACGTCTTCAGATGGTATACACTGCTACTGCGAGCCTGTGGTGATGGGAGCGAATGTTGAAGGCGGTAGATGGGGTGCCAATCAAGTGATCCGATCAGTTGGACAAATGACCAGTTACTTTGCAGCTCATTTTATCTAATTTTAATGGTGAAAGGGGATATGGTAATGTTTTTGCCCTCATGTCAAATCTGCCGGATGAGAGTTGAACTTGCAATAGCAAAGCTCAAGGTTCAAATTTAATTTCTGCCAAAACACAAAACAATAAGATTATATGATGACTTTTCACCGTATCTCGGTACACGTGACAACAATAAACAATTCAATATTGCAAAACAATGCTAACGTCAAGTGCTCAATGGAGCAAGATGTACTCGGAACCAGATTCAACTCCATCGTGAAAGCTCCACCCAACTTTATCAACCTGCTGAGGTTAAGCTCCAAGTGACACAGAGCTGAAACCAGAGGCAAGGAACACAAGCGTAGGCATTGCCGAACCACAAACCTGTCCGACACTCACCTGCAGGTCTGGTGTCCCATGTACAGCAATGAGGCAGTCAGCAAATACAGGTACAGCTTCACCAAATGCTGGACAGGCAACATAAGCACAAACGCACTGAGAAGGTGACCTGTGAAGCAGAAGTGTAGCAAAGCTCAGCACAAATGGAGGTGTGAGGGTGTTACAAAAGAAACAACTGACAGCTCAGTGGAGGGAGTCCATACATACACTGGTTCGGAGGCACAAAGTTCGAAACCCTGTGGTGACCTGAAATTTCTGCCACTGTAGCCTTGTTCGTTCTTTACTTGAGCAACCCAAAACTAATCCTACTGTCCTCAGCCCACACACCTGTATCTCATGGTCACCCAATTTTTCTTGAATGTGCAAAGATCTCTGCTATAACCAATCCTTCCTTCTCTTAGGCAATCCCTTGGGATTGAAAATGACCTATTTCCACTCCAGAGTTATGGATCCTGAGGTGACGTGCCCCATAAACCCCTGGGTGGATGGGAAGTTCAGGTTTTCACACCATCCGTGTCTCTGGCAGATACCGGAGAGCTGGGAACTCTGCAGTTCTGTTGACCACGAAGTTGGTGTCCAGTTGTTTGGCAGCAAACACATGTTCCTCAGGTGGCCAAAGGCTGTAATGGCACATGGAAGATGATGGTGAATTTTCCCCGTTAATGCCTGTCCTCCCGAAGAGGACACTCGCAAGGTATGGAAATTGTCCAGTAACTCATTGTGGATCTTCACAGGTGGATGAAGTGTTCTGGAACGGGAGCTAGCAATTAGAGGACCGGGTGTACAGTCTGCGACCCATTCTCTCAAATGCCTGTACGAGTGCATCCATGACAGCTTAGAGCTCAGACTCTGAACACGCACGCATGAGCGCAAGTACGTGCACAGACTTTGTTTGTATCCTGCAGCTTGACAAGGAAGATTGGGGTGATCTTGGTTCTGCACTTGAGCGATGCAGGTTGTACAGGATAGGAGCTTCGCGGATATGTGGAGGAGTTGCAGCAGTGAAGATAGAGAAGAGACACAAAACAGCAATTGCTGGAAAAACACAGCAGGTCTGGCAGCAGTCTGTGGAGAGAAAGCAGATAGAGAGCAGTGTTGGTGCAATGACCCAGCCTAGCAGGACTCCAATTTGTACAAGTATTGAGCGTGTGTTGAATCCTTTGGAGGATCATGTCTCATGTACTTTCATGTAGCTGGTGGGGAATTAGTGTTTTTATTCATTATCGCTGGCCAGGCCAGCATTTATTGCTAAGGGCACTTAAGAATAAACCTCATTACCTTTTTCTCTGGAGCCACAAGTAGGCCAGACCAGGTAAGGGTAACAGTTTCCTTTACTGAACTAATGATTAGGCATTTGTGAACCAGATGTGCTTTTCAACATCCACAATCGGACGTGGCTAATTCAAAACTGGGTTCCCAGCACATTACTTGGATGCTTAGATTAACAGTCCAGCGATAATAAGCCACTAAGCCATTGTCTCTCCCATGATGAAGAATTTCCACAGGCAGCCACATTCCAGGAGAATGCTCCACAATCCTTCCCGGTTGAAAAGGTCAAAGGGTGCGTGAGGACAAAGGAGGCCAGCTATAAGGGCTGCTACTGCTGCTCTGCACTGGTCTTGGACCAGTCTTACCGTGAAAATAAAGTCCACTGTGCTTCTTGATGGACAAAATCCTCTTTGTAAGAGGAAGAAGGACAAGAGGAAGAGAAATGAGGGGAGGCAATGGCCTATTGGTATTATTGCTGGATTGTTTCCAGAGACCCAGGTTCGAAACCACTATGGCAGATGATGGAATTTGAATTCAGTAAAAATCTGGAATGAAGAGTCTAACGACGACCATTAAACTATTGTTGCCTGTCAGGAAAAACCCATCTGGTTCACTAATGTTCTTTAGGGAAGGAAACTGCCATCCTTACCTGGTCTGCCCTACATGTGACTCTAGACCCACAACAACGTGGTTAACTCTTAACTACCCTCTGGGTAATTAGGGATGGACAATAAATGCTTGCCCATGAATGAATAAAAAAAAGTTCTGTAAAAAGTTTCTCTTACAGCAGAAAGGAAAAAGGGGAACTTACCATTTTTGAAAAAAGAAATCTATAAATCAGTAATAAAAATCACAAAATGTAGGCCATTCAGCTCCATCAAGTCTGCTCTACCATTCAGTGACATCACGATAATCCCCAACAGCATCAGCTAATGAAAAGTCAACAGACCAAAACGCTAACTTTGCTTACGTCCCACAGATGCTGCCACTGATGCCAAGTTTCTCCAGGAATTACTGCTTTGCTTCTGATCTCCAGCATCCACAGTGTTTCGTTGTACTCAGATAATACTCAGCTTCACTTTTCCGGTCTTGTACACATAACCTTCGATTCCCTTACTGGCTAAAAATCTGTCTAGCCCAGCCTTGTCACTAAAGAAAGTCCCGAAACTTATGAAGCTGGTTAACAGTGTTTACCAAGAGAATGAGGGAACGTAGTTATGAGATAGTGATAAACGAGGGAATTCAGGAAAAATAATTCTCCACCTAGAGTTTGAGAATATGGAATAAAAACCGAATGAACTGCAGATGCTGAGAATGTGGATGCTGTCATCATCTGGAGGAGAGTAGAAATGTATTTAAGGGAAGATACAGACAAGTTCATACAGGAGTGGGAGGTAGTAGGTCATTCTGATGGAATGAATTGAGGTTCAAGGTGAGCTTCAACACCAAACTATACCAAACAGACTGAATGGTCTGTTGCTGAGCTGTGAATTCTGTGCAGAGTGACACTATGCATTTCCAAATAGATGAATTTCCTGCAAGAGTCTCTGAACTGTTCACAAGATACAACAGTAGTTGAGACAATAATATTGCTCACAGTCCCCATGCCATCCCCTCCCTAGTCTTGTCTACTTTAAAGAAAATAGCCTGACCATATCCAACCTCCATTCAGACCTGACATGCTCCATTCCAGGCAACATCCTGGTCACAGAGCCATACAGCACGGAAACAGACACTTCGGTCCAACTCATCCGTGCCGACCAGACATCCCAATCTGACCTAGTCCCACTTAAAGTCAGAGAGATGTACAGCATGGAAACAGACACTTCAGTTTATCTCATCCATGCCAACCAGATATCCTAAATTAATCTGGTCCCATTTGCCAGCAATTGGGCCATATCCCTCTAAACCCTTCCTAACCAAATTCCTTTTAAATGTTGCAATTGTACCAGCTTCACCATTTCCTCTGACAGCTCATTCTATACACACAGCACCCTCTGTGTGAAAAGGTTGTCCCGCAGGTCCCTTTTAAATCATTCCCCTCCAACCTTAAACCCATGCTCTCTAGTTTTGGACTCCCCTACCATGGGAAAAAGACCTTGGCTGTTCACCCTATCCATGCCCCTCATGATTTTATAAGCATGTGTAACCCCTCAACCTTTGACATTCGAGAGAAAATGGCCCAGCTTATTCAACCTCTCCCTACAGCTCAACCCTTCCAACCCTGGCAACATCCTTTTAAATCTTTACTGCACCCTATTCAAGTTTAACAACATCTTTCCTACGGCAGGGAGACCAGAACTGAACATGGTATTCCAAAAGTGGCCAGTACAGCCACAACATGACATCCCAACTCCTATACTCAAAGTACTGACCAACTAATGCAAGTATACCAAACGCCTTCTTCACTACCCTGTCTACTTGTGACTCTGCCTTCGAGGAACTATGAACCTGCATCCCCAAGGTTTCTTTGTTTGGCAACACTTCCCAGGACCTTAACCATTAAGTGTAGAAGTCCTGCCCTGATTTGCCTTTCCAAAATGCAACACCTCACACTTTTGTAAATTAAACTCTATCTGCTACTCCTCGGCCCATCTGATCAAGGTCCCTTATACTATGAGATAACATTCTTCACTGTCCACGACACCACGAGTTTTGGTGTCATCTGCAAACTTACTAACTTTTCCTCCTATATTCACATCTAAATCATTTATATAAAATGAGAAAAAGCAGTGGACACAGCACTGATCCTTGTGGTACACCGTTGGTCACATGCCACCAATTTGAAAAACAACCCTCCACCATCGTTCTCTGTCTCCTACCTTCAAGCCAACTTTGTATCTAAATGCCTCGCTTCCCTGTATTCCATATGATCTAATCTTACTAACAGTCTACCATGCTAAACCTTGTCAAATTCCCTGAAGTCCATATTTACAATGTCCATCACTTTGCCCTCAATCTTCTTTGATATTTCTTTAAAAAAGTCATGTTAGTGAGATACGATTTCCCACACACAAAGCCACGTTGCCTATCCCTAATCAGTCCTTGCCTTTCCAAATACATGTAGATCCTGTCCCTCAGAATCTCCTCCAACAACTTACTCATCACTGACGTCAGGCTCACCGGTCTATAGTTCCCAGCATTTGCTATATTTGCCAGCATTTGGCCCATATCCCTGTAAACCCTTCCTATTCATGTATTCATCCAGAAACCTTTTAAATGTTGTAATTGTACCCACTTCCACCGCTGCCTCTAGCAGCTTGTTCCATACTCACACCACCTCTGCATGTACCCTTCAGGTACTTTTTAAATCTTTCTCCTCTCACCTTAAACCTATGCCCTCTAGTTATGGACTCCCCCACCCTAGGAAAAAGAACTTGGCTATTCACCTATCCATGCCCCTGATGATGTGAATCTCCTCTGCAATCTCCAGTGCAATCACATCCTTCCCATAGTGTGGTGACCAGAACTGCACACAGTATTCCAGCTGTGACCTGACCAAAGTCCCGTCCAGCTCCGACATAACTTTTCTACTGTTATAATTGATGTATGATTATGTCCCATGTGCCTTCTTAACCATTCTGTTAAGAATGTTAACCAACCTAGCCACCTTCAGCAATCTATGGACACGCACCTCAAGATTCCTCCGTTCCTTTGAGCTTCCTTCATGTCCTGCCATTCATGGCATACTCCTTTGTCGTGTTACTTCTTCCAAAATGCCTCATCTTATGCTTTTCACAGTCAAATCTGACCTCTTCAAGTGAAGATGAATTATATGTTTCAGAATTTTCTCCAATAGTTTCCCTACCACTGATGTGTGATTCACTGGTCTGTAATTCTCTGGATTATCCCTACCACATGTCTTTAAGTCTTGAGATCTGGTCTACGTGATTCCAGGTGCTCAGCAATGTGGTTTACTCTGAACTATGCTCCGAAATGGCCTAGCTCAAGGGCAACTAGGGGCAGAAAAAAACTGTTAGCCTCCCCAGTGACACCCACATCCCATACAGGAATAAGAAAGAAGAGCACTTGGTGTAGGGAGATATTGGCAGGGAAAAAGTATTGATTATCTAACAGGAAACAGGCAGCAAGGATAAATGCGTCTTTTACAGGATAGCAAACTGAATCCAAGGGAGAGTCACAGAAGTCAGCACTGGGACCCCAACAATTTACAATCCACATCAACAATTTGGCTGATGACACTAAATACATGGTAGCCAAATTTGCCCATGACAGCAAGATAGGTAAGAAAGTTATAAAGACGACATAAGGAGTCTAGGGAAACATATATATGATTTGATGCTGGCAGATTTCTGAAGGGTCTAGACCCGAAACGTCAGCCTTCCTGCCCCTCTGATGCTGCTTGGCCTGCTGTGTTCATCCAGCTCTACACCTTGTTATTACAGAAACATATAAATGGGTTACGTTAGTTGGCAAAAGTTTGTAATATTTTTCCTTTACTCTGGGATGTGGGGGCTGTTGAGCCAGCATTTTGCCTGTCCCTAGTTGATGGTGAACTGCTTTCTTGAACCGCTGCAGCCTATTTGCTTTAGGCACATCCATAATGCCACTGGAGAGGGTATTCCAGGATCTTGACCCTGTAACAGTGAAGGAACAGCGATATATTTCCAAGTCAGGAGTAGTTTGGGAAGGCAACTTGCAGGGGATGGTGTTCCCATATGTCTGTTGCCCTTGTCCTTCAAGATGGAAGTGGTCATGGTTTGGAAGGTGCTGTCTGAGGATCTTTGGTGAATTTCTGCAGTGCATCTTGTAGATCGTACACACTGCTGCTACTGAGTGGCAGTGGTGGAAGCAGTGGATGTTTGTGGATGTGGTGCCAATCAAGCAGGCTGCTTTGTCCTGGATGGTGTCAAGCTTCTTGAGTATTGTTGGAGCTGCACTCATCCAGGCAAGTGGGGAGTATTCCATCAGGCACCCAAACTGTGCCTTGTAGATGATGGACAGACTTTGGGGAGTCAGGGGGTGAATTGCCTGTTGCTATATTCCTGGCCTCTGATCTGATCCTGTAGCCACTGTATTTATGTGGTGAATCCAGTCCAGTTTCTGGTCAATGGTAACCCCAGGTTGTTGATAGTGGGGGATTCAATGTTGGTAACACCACTGAATGTCAAGGGACAGTGGTTAGATTGTCTTTTATTGGAAGTGGTCATAGCCTGGTGTTTGTCAGCCCAAGCTTGGATATTGTGCAGAGCTTGTTGATTATGAACACAGACTGCTTCAACATCTGAGTTGTCGCAAATGATGCTGAACATTGTGTAATCATCAGCAAACATCCACACTTCTGACCTTATGACGCAAGTTGGTCAATGGTGAAGCTGCCAAAATTTATTGGGCCTAGAGCATCATATATGAAATATCAGAGCTCAGACTGAGGAGTTTGGGCCTGGACTGAGTATCTGCAGGAGCATGACTGTGGAGCAGAAAATACCCAAAAAGAGGTGTGGATGCTGGTGGGAGATGTTGAGTGATAGAGCAACAGAGGGTGTACAGCCAGTGATGGTGTACCCACATCTGGACCAGGAGATGGGTTCAAGCCCCACCTGGTCCAGATGTGGTGTAATAACATTTTTGAACAGTATGATCAGAAAATATCCACCTGGAATTATCGGGGCTCTTGCTACTGTCCATACCTCTGGACCAGGAGAACCAGGTTCAAGACCCATATACTCTGGTGATACATAATAACATCTCTGAATAGGTTGTCGTCCTACCCCTGGCTGAACCTGTAGGTGACACTAGTTCCAGGTCTTACACGTTCAAGTGTTAAGCTGAACAGGTTACTCTGTTTTATCAAGTCTTCCCCAAACATACTTACACCAGTTAGGGAATACTATTTGTATGACATGTGTGGAAATTAGTGCCAGGCTTAAAAGCAATGTCCATACCAGTGATGATATTATCCACTCCAAATCTGCAGTAATTTTTAACCTTTGCAAGACAGGAAAGACTGTAGAAATCCTTACCCAAATAGTATGCATTCCACAAAACGTATTTATATTTGATGAGCATTTCCTCATTCCTGGCTCGGATCTGTTCAGCAAAGTGACCAACATCCCATTTGTAAAGCAAATCCAGCAGCATGACACTGGGCACCCGCAGAGCCACATTCGCCATGGTGTCTGCAAAAGGCATCTTGGCTAATTTACCATAATCTGTTACTTTATCACTGGGGTGGCTGTCACACTGGGAAGCAGTGTGAGCACTGAGCAGGCAACTGGAAGCCTGTAATCCCCAGAGCTATCTGTACCAGCAGGTAACGTGTAAATGGCCACTCTGCCCTGTAAATGCCTGACCCTCTCTGCCTAGTTTTGCCCTGAAAAAATCCCACGTTCATAACTCAGTCCTGTTTTGCGTTCTCTCTCGCTATCCTTAACTAGTTTCCATTCTATTTTTCTCTGAAGTCGCGATCCCTCTTCTCTCCCCCACTCCCCCCCTCCCCAGCACAGAACATTCACTCTATCTCTATCTCTATCTCTTTCTCTTTCTCTCCCCCTCCCTCTCCCCTTCACTCACTCACTCACTCTCTCTTTCTCTTTCCCTCTCTCCCTTTCTTTCTTGTTCTGTTTCTCTCTCTCTCTCTTTACTTTCTTTCCTGCGGTCCCGTCTTTTCTCTCTCCTCACTTTCTTTCTCTCTTTCCCTCTGTCTCTCTCTCACTCACTCATTCTCCCAGGCCGCTCACTTCCTCCATTTTTCGTCAACTCTGTCCAGGAAGTGCCCGCATGACCCCGCCCTGAGCCAGAGCTGATTGGCTGCTGCCGCCTCGAGGATGTCAAGGCGTTCCACAGGGGGAGTGGCAGGACGGCTGGGCGGGGCTTCGACTGAGGGGCGTGCCTTAGACTTGGTGGGGGGCGGGGCACGGTTTTTGGGCGGGGCCTTTGGATGGAGAGTCGGGGGCTTATGCTGACATCGCCGGTCAGCGTCACTGGGCGCGGACGCGGCCGAGGGGCGAGGCTTAGGCTGAGGGGGCGGGGAACAGTCAATGGGCGGGGTTTGACTGGTGGGCGGGGCGTCAACCGGGCGGGGCGGGGTCTGGTGGGCGGGGCACGGTTACGGGGCGGGGTTTGACTGGGGGGCGGGGCGCCAACGGGGGGGGGCGGGGTCTGGTGGGCGGGACAACCATATATTACAGAAAAGGCCCTTCAGCCCATTAAGTCTGTACCACCATAATATACCATTACCTACACTACTCCCACTTTCCTGCACTGACCCTATACCCTTCAATGTTATGACTCTTCAAGATCTTTATAAACATTGTGAGGTTTCCCACCTCACCTACCCTCGCAGGCAGCACTTTTCAGACCCCCGTAAGTCTGTGGGTGAACACATTTCTGCTCAAACCCACTCTAAACATCCTGCCTTTCAATTTAAAAATTTTCCCCTTATTATTAATCCTTCAGCTAAGGGAAACAGCTGCGTTCCATTCACCCTGTCCATGCCGCTCATAATCTTATACACCCTCAACCTCATTTCTGCATCAAAGAAAACATCTCGACTTTATCCAGCCTCTCTTCATAGCTGAAATGCTCCATATCTGGCAACATTATTATCTCTTCCAACCTCTTTTCAGGACTTTTTTCCTCCGGAGCATAAGAGGCTAAGGAGTGACCTTATAAAGGTCTATAAAATCATGCCTTATGGTCTAATAGTCTTTAGAGAGCATATATAAGGTAGATAGCTGACAGTTTTTCCCCATGGTACGGGAGTCTAAAACTAGGGGGCATAGGTTTAGGGTAAGAGGGGAGAGGTACAAAAGTGTCAATTTTTCACACAAAGTGTGCTGAGCATATGGAATGGCTACCAGAGGTTGTGGTGGAGGCAAGTACAATTTTGTCATTTAAGAAACATTTGGACAAATACATGAATGGGATAGGTATGGAGGGATGTGAACTAAACATATGCAAATGGGACTAGATTAATTTTGAAAACTGGGCAGCATGGACAAGTTGGACTGAAGAGCCTGTTTCCATGTTGCAAGCCTTTATGACTCTTCTGTTGGGCAGAAGATACAAAAGCTTAAACACACGTACCAATAGATTCAAGAATAGCTTCTTCCCTGCTGTTATTAGACATCTGAATGGACCTTTCAAATTTCAAATTTAATGTTGATCTCACTCCTTGTGCACCTTCTCTGTAGCTGTAACATTGTATTCCTCTGTCTGTTCTGTTACCCTAATGCACTTTGTAAGATATGATCTGCCTGTCCTGTGCGCAAAACAAAACTTTTCACTGCACCTAGGTACATGTGACAATGATAAATCAAACAAACCAAAAAAATCTCATTTGCACCCCCTCCAATGCAATCACGTTCTTTCTATAGTGCAGAGACCAGAACTGCACGCAGTCCTCCAGCTGTAGCCTAACATGACTTCCCTACTCTTATAATCAATGCCACAACTGATAAAGGCAAGTGTCCAAATGCCTTCTTAACTACCTGATTAATCTGTCCGGCCACCTTCAGGGATCTGTGGACAAGCGTCCCCAAGATTCCTCTGTTCCTCCATGGGAGAGCTTAAATTTTCAGTTCAACAATGGCTATACCACCCAACATGCCAACTTCCACTCCCCTGCCAACTATCCCCCCCACCCCATTCAATCTGTTGAGTTTGCTCCACCATTCAATGAGACCGTGGCTAATTTGATAATTTTCAATTTCACTTTCCTGCCTTATCCCCATAAGCCTTGATTACCTTGTTTATCATAAACAGCCGCAGATGCTATGGCATTTCAAGTGTACATCCAACTACTTCTAAAATGCCTTGATGGTTCTTGAATCTACCACCCTTTTTTGATTTGAGTTTCAGATATCTCAAAACTCTCTAGGTGAAAAGGTTTCCTCAAATGGCCTCGAAAGACTATTAGACCATAAGAAATAGGGACAGGAGAAGGTCATTTTGCCCCTCAAGCATGCTCCATCATTCAGTAGGATCATGGCTGATCTGACATTCCTCACATCCATTTTCCTGCCCTTTAGCCATAACCTTTCATTACCCGACTGATCAAGAATCTATCTATTTCAGCCTTAAATGTGCACAAGGACTCTGTCGCCACAGGTCTCAGTGGCAAGAAGTTCCAAAGACTCACAACTTTCTGATGGAAGAAGTTTGTCGTCATCTCACTGTTAAATTGGTGCCCCTTTATTCTGAGACTATGCCTTGTGGTCCTGGACTCTCCCATGAGGGGAAACATCCTCTCATTATTTACCCTGTCAAGTCCATTAAAAATCTTCTGTGTCTCAATAAGATCACCCCTCATTCTGCTAAATTCCAATGAATAGAGTCCCAACCTGTTTAAACTTTGCTCATAAGACAATCCCTCCATTCCAGGGATCATCCTCGTGAACCTTCTCTGAACTGCCTCCAATGAAATAATAACTTTCCTTAAATAATGGAATCTATACTGCTCACAATACTCCAGAAGTTGTCTCATCAGCACTTTGATATATAGTTGCAGTAAGTCTTCCCTACTCTTATACTCCAAGCCCATGGAATAAGGGCCAACATTCCATTAGCCTTCCTGACTCCATGCTACACCTGTGGTCCGTGCACAAGTACCCTCAAGTCCCTTTGTGTTGCAGCTTTCTGCAATTTTTCTCTGTTTAAATAATATTCTGTTCTACTCTCTTTCAAAATGAACAACTTCACATTTAACCACACTATACACCATTTCCCAAATTTTTGCCCACTTACTTAACCTATCAATATCTCTCTGCAAACTATTTGTGTACTTCTCGTAACCCGACTTTCCACCTTTTTTTGTCGTCTGCAAATCCGGCTACAGTTGCTTGGCTAAACAAGAGTGCTTTAGAGTTTGGGGAAAACCAGGAGTTAGGTGAGACAGGGAGCAGCTGAAACTGAAAGACTGAGTGTGGTGCACAGTTGCAGTCCAGGCAGTTCAGAAAGTGAAAAAGTCCCAACAGAAGATGTCAGTTTGTAAGTGATACCTGCAGAGTATTTGATTACAGTTTTTAAAGCATAAGATTAAACGAAGGTAGGGACTTTCAGTTACAATAGAAGTGTTTGAAATGAGGGAAGGTCCCGAGCTCAATTAAATTCTCTTACAGGGAGTAACTAGCTTAATCTAGACAGATGTCATGACAGGAGACCTGTGGTGTGCACCTTTTGTAAAATGTAGGAAATAAGGGATGCTACAAGTGTCCCTGACAGCAACGTGTGCATGAAACATGTCCAGCTGCAGCTGGGTCACAGTGTAGCAACTGCGATGCTGCAAATGTCATGGATAGCACATTTAGCAGGGTGGTCACACCACAGGGGAACATAACACAGGCAGGAAGAGAATGGGTGACCATCAGACAAAGTAGAAGAATCAGGAAAAAAAAAGTGCAGGAGTCTCCTGTGGTCATTTTGGATACTGTTGGGAGGGAAAGCGACATCAGTCAGGTTCATTGTCACCGCAGATGGCTCTGTTACACAGAAGGGGAGGAAATTGAGCAGCAGGGCTATAGTGAAAGGGGACTCAAGAGTAAGGGGTCCACACAGTCATATCTGTGGCCACAGGCGTGAATCCAGGATGTTGCCTCCCTAGTGCCAGGGTCAGGAATGCCACAGAGCAGAGCAGCTGCAAGATATTCTAGAGCAGGAGGGTGAACAGCCAGTGGTTGTGGTATACAGAGGTACCAATGGCATAGGTAAACAAAGCAATAAGGACCTGAAAACTGAATACAGGAAATTAGGAGACAAAACGCAGGACCTCAAATGTAGTAATCTCAGGCCGACTCCCAGTGCCGTGCGCTAGCAACAGAAGGAATAAGAGGATAGATCAGATAAATGCGTGAGCAGGGAAATGGTGTCCCAGGGAAAGGTTTAGATTTCTTGAGGCATTGGGACCGTGTCCAGGGAAGGTGGGACCTGTACAAGCCTACCGGGTTATACCTCGACAGGTCTGCGACCCCTGCTGTTTGTCTTATATGTTAACGATTTGGATTTGAATGTAGACACAATTGGGAAATTTGCAAATGACATTAAAAAAACCCAGCAGGTAGTGAATAGTGTACAGTTTAGTTGTAAGCTCCGAATTGATTTGGTGGGTTGGTTTTAATCAATTGTGGTTGTGTTCATGTGGAACCCCAATAGTCACAGATTGTGAACCTGAAAAAGAACACCTCATTCCACAGAACTATATAAACCGTAAAAATGATACAGCACAGAAGGGTGCCATTCGACTCATCTTGTTCCATGCCTAAGCAAAGACACGCAGATGCCCTTTCTCCTCCCACCTCCTTGCACATGGTCCATTGCCCTGCAGTTTGCTGCACCTGAGGCACAGAGCCAGGTATTTTTTAAAAGAGTTTAGGATCTCTGCCTCCACTACCAACTCAGGCAGCGAATTGTGTAAAAAAAAAATTTCCTCACGCTCCCTTTTAAAACTTCTGCCACTTAGCTTGAATCAATGACATCTGGATTTTTGAACTCTTCCTGTCTACTTTATTTGTACCCCTCAGAATTTTGTATACATCAATCATATCACCCCTCAGCCTTCTCACTTCCAAAGAAAACCACTCCAACCTTTCCAATCTCTCCTCACATCTGAATTCTCCAGCCCTAGCTACATTTTAGTAAATGTCTCTGCACTTTCTCCAGAGCAATTACATCCTTCCTGTAGTGCGGTGACTAGAACTGCACACAATACTCCTGTTGTGGCCTTGTCTCAGCATTATATCCCTACTTTTGTATTCTGTACCTCAGCCGATACAGGACAGCATTCCATATGCT